ACACACACACACACACGAACCGTCACGAACTCCCCACCTTCCGCGGAGCTTTGCGGAGGGCCTCGAGATCCAAGCAGGGCAAAGCCTCCGAGGTCGACGGAGCTCGCGGTGGTTGCGGCAACCACGGTCCTCCCGGCGGTCCTCCACGCGGGCAGCCAGGGCTTTGGAGCAATTCAGGCGTGGCAAGTCAGAAGCAATGGCCTGCACCGTGCCGAGGTTTAAGCGCATACTCATTTCACCAAGATGGATGATGCATGATGATGCCAACAGATTGACTTGATTACCATATCAATCCATGTGAGGTAACGTCATGTTCAGCTACTTTGGTGCGCACCTCAGCACCATGGGAATTGAGTGGGTTCTACACCCCATATTTTATAGGCAATCGACCCGAGGCATTGCAGAGTTTCGCCAGGTCCTTTTCCTGTCCCCGGCTGCTCAAGAGCGGCCAACTGTGCTTCTTGTTGCAGTCGGCCAAGCTCCCCAGGACCGTCCGTCGGGACGTTGGACGCCAAATCGAGGTGCGAACGAAACGGGCGTTGAAACCAGGACCAGCCTCTTCCAGGGCTTTTGACTAAAGTACAGTATGCTTGTTTCTTTTGGCAATGGATGGCAATGACAATGGTGGATATGATGCTTGGAAACAACATTTGCAAGCCCTGATCATGCTCTCTTCCCCAAGGAATGCGTGCTGGATGAGACATTCACTGCCGGGCGAATTGCAGCCCACAAGAGTTTGGACAAAGAGATCTCTGGATACCTTCATGGCCCCGCATGATTTTTTCTCAAAAAGGTCAACTACATACTTGTTGTTGTGCAGATGCGCGTGTACTGGCACTGAGGCGATGACTTGCTCCCGAAGCTCTTGAGATTTAGTCCTCCCTCCTCCGCTCTCAGTATATACCACCCTCATGCTGGCACGACCTAGCTGGTCAGGAACTCAAGCCGCACAACTTTACAAGTTCATGAGCCCCTGGCTTTGCCGCAAGACAGACTTGAGATTGGTGGCGCAGGAACCTGCATGGGAGTCCTACTGACAAAATGAGCACCAACACAACACATCTCTCAAATGGAAGGTGTTTTGACATAGGGAGATCCCCCAAAGAGGCCCTGGAAGAGTAAAGTTTGGGCGTCCTCCCATTCGCATGCAAGAAGCGTCAAACAAAGCAAGTTGAGGACAGCACGAAGCACGTTTTGGACTGGAGAGGTGCTTCACCCAAAGGAGCTTCCAACGGCTCCTCAGCGAAAGATCTGGGCGCCAACAGAAAAATCATGAAAAATCCGTCCAAAATCCGTCCTCTGACTTCTTTGAAGCTTCTTTGCCTCAAAATGACTGGTCTCACGTGATGGGAACATCACACACCCCGAAGCCCGAAACACCTCCGACCAAGCCGATTGGTAAACACCCTAGTAAAAAAGGCCTTGAGGGATAAAAACTGGGAACCCGATCGTTGGGACCTATCAATATTCATCAACAACCTTGCCTTCTCCAAAGAACTTGTGCTCTAGTGTCAATTGATTCTAGGCACGGAGTATTCAAATACGCTGACAAAGCATATCCAAGTGATCATGCAGGTAGCAATGCGAAAATGGCCACAAACGGCCTCTGTGGCTCTCCAACAATGTTGGTCGCCTTGGATGGCCATTGAAGGCAAGCAAGCATGGCCAACACGATAGAATTGTAATGGCACGCGGCCACCGTCACCACAAAACGCTGGAAAGCACGTTTGAAGCAAAACCTGAAACTTACAAGTACAGTATATATATACAGCTCTTTGCTATGTTGATAATGCTGGTCCGGCAAATGGCCAACCCTGCTGCCACATCACACCCTAACCCTACGACAAACAAGAATAGATTAGCCTTTCCCCACTGCATTCCTGTTCCTCTTAAGAGACAGACCTCTTCTCTTCAAGGATCTCGGTCCATTTCTTACACCTTGTCAGGGCACAAGAAATGTGGGAAGCCGCGGTGCATCGTGCAGTGCCAGCATTTAGGACCTTTGGTAGTGAGCTTGCAAGCCATGGCAGGCAATGAGCCTGGCGAAGAGAGGGCTTGGCTTCAATCTCAAAGACCAAGGGCCACGCTGGAAAACGTGATTCATCTAAGGGTCTACCTAGGCTGGATGCCCAGCATGACGCGTGTGCGTCACGCACAAACCCAGCACGCGTGCGCGGCGCGTTTGCTCCTTCCACAGGATGGGCATGGCTCGGTGGGTGATGGCTGGTGGTCACACCTCAGCTATAGCCAAAGTTTGGCCCTTCAGCAAACCTTTGACGTCCGATCTTCAGGAGGGAAAATGAATGATGGAAAATGTGCATTCAATCGTCTTCAGGGAAGGAATCTGCATCTTGGCTGCCATGAGGACGTGGCGACTTCTGAGGTGACTTCTGCAAGGACAAGCACCTCAGAAATCAGCAGAATGCCTAGCGAATATTAGCGAACGGGATCTTACAAATTGGTTGATGTAAGTGGAGGTGAAATGTCCTTCGTGGGGCATGGAACAAATCATCCGCAACTCTTAGGTGTGTAATGATGACTAACTTTGGTCCAAGAAGGGTTTTCGTGTTTTCCAGCTGAACAACAAACTAGCCAGAAAGATCCCAATGTCCCACATCACGCCATGAAGCATGTTCGCAACTTGTAGATTTTGTAGGTGCCCAGAATTCCAGAAGCCTCTTTGAAAGCCGGAGTTCTGCAAATCTGAGGCATCGTCTTGTTGGGATACCCTGCCTTGCGTGGCAGAGCTGCATGAAAGGAAAAAACGAAAGAACCAAGTCTAGCCACCAGAGTTCCCCACCTGCGCCTGCAATGCCTGCGCTCTCTGCTGGCACCTACCCATGACAAGTCCACAAACACAACAAAGCCCCGACCATGTCAAGCAAGACTCTCAGACTCACAAGATCTGGTGGCAAAAGAACCTGATCAAACGAACCCAAACGCAAAATGCGTAATTGTCAGCATCGCACGGTAGCGGCCAGCCGCCGGCACCTCGCTTCGTGCTGTGCGACGGAGCTTCGCAGGACCGGGGCACCGCAATGGCTGCATCGCCTCGGTGCAACGTGTTTTTTCTCGGTGAGCGGAGTTCGCCGTTGGAGTGCTGAAGAAAGCCGTGTCCTAGTAGCGTCCTTGCTCCTAGTAGTACGGCCAGGAGCCCCAAGAGCGTCCTTGCATGTAGACTCCCACCCAGATTAAAAAGAAGTTGCAATCCAAATTGGCGGGGTGACCCATCAAGAGGAACCACTTCCTACGACGAAATGCCGAACAACTTCCTAACACATGAGATGAGAAGCCGTCCATTGATCTTAGCAGATGTCCATCCCCCACAGGGCAAGCCCCGTTCCTGAGACGCCTGGCTGGGTGCAAGGTCGCGGCGTGATTGGCACATCTGTGGCCCTTAGCTCCGCTGAAGCGATGGATTTTGCTGGTCCTGCCAACCCACAGGCACAGTGAATTACAAAAGAGCCTATAGGCCTATACGCCCTTAATTAATAAGCTCTTGCAAAAATCTGTGTTTAAAAAAATATTTTATATGGTAAGGCCAGAATCCTTGATTTAAAAAAAGAACAATCAACAAGAGTCAAATGGAAAAGTCAAAGTCAAAAGAAGGCACATGGAAAAGTCAAAAAACAAGTCAAAAACAGATCACAACTCGAAGCAGTCAAAAACACAAGTCAAATAAAAATCAAAAAGAAGTCACAAAAGTGTCAACACGTCGAAAAAGTGAAAGCCAAAAATAACACAAAAATATGTCAAAATTAGAAAAACAAAAGAAGACAAAAATTCAAGTCTGTGCCAATAGACTTTTTTTGACCTTTTGAAACTTTTGGATTTGACTTTTTTGACTTTGACTTTTGGGACTGACTACTAAGTTGACGTTTTTATGACTTTGTAAAATTTTGAAGACACGCTCTCTCCAATGAACGATTTAAATAACTGTGGATTTCACTCCATGCAATCAGGTTGGAACAGCTTTTGACCGTTCCGGTTGCTGTTTGGCTACCCTGCGCCCATGCAGGGGCCCCTTGAACCTCGTTCATGCTAAGCCATAGGCAAAAGACACGCCTCACTGTTTTTCACGCTTTCCATCCCGACACTTCGTGCGGTCGCGATACAACACGAGTTTCCACTTCCGTGTTTTCATAATAACGCTATTACTATTGAAAGATAATGAAAAATAACATAAAATAACCCCGTCCAGGTGACGGAGTGAGAAGGAACAAAGCAGCGCACTGAGTTGAGCACGGTGTTGCCACACCAGAGCTCGTCTCCCGGGGAGAAGCCAAAGGGGTTGCCGTCTTGGCAGCACTTCGACCTGATTGGAGTAGAACAGAAACCAACGAATCCTTTCAATGCTTGTTCAATCCTTTTCATTCTGTCTGTGGCTTGAACTGCTTGCACTCTTCGCCCCAGTACTGCTGGTCTCGGTGTTTCCCCTGCACCTCAACAGCAATCACATGCAAGGCTGCTAAACGACATGCATAACTCACCTGCCTGCTCTGGTGGTACTCCAGGCTGTGCGATAGCATCTGCTTGTGACAAGTGGGGCATTCCTTCAAGAACGACCTCACCCTTAGCACAGGGGCTTTCGCTGACAGTGTCAGAATGCCAGGCCAGGCTTGAGTGTGTGGCGATGTTCTTGGAGATCGCACTTCTGACCAGGACAAGCGCCTGGCAAATGCAAAAGCAAAGCTCACGGAAGTCCAAGTTTAAACGTCTGGATTTCAAATGATTTCAAGTCGTTGCTTCCTGCAAGAGAAAGCTGCGGCCCTCTGCTGCCCCAAGGAATCGATTAGGGCTTGTTCTTGACACCTAGGCGCTGGAGCACGCTAAACTCAGCCCAACGGACGCAAACGCCACTGAGGGCTAAGCGCATGCCGCTCCCTGATGAGTTTCAGTTGAGTGAGGAGGTGGATCATGTCAGATGGAGGGTGTGTCGGATGCACACGCGCCTGGAGTCACGAGCTTGGCATAGTGTAGAGCACCTGGCCTGGAGCGCGCAACGCTTCTAGGTTGGAGGCCAGAGGCCATAGGTTGGAGGCCCAGGTTCCTTGTGCTATTACAAGGTTGGAGGCCATCGCTAGTAGCTTCAGTCTAGTCATCCAAAGTCAAGCTGAGTGTTTCTCCTGGTGTTGAGCAAAGATTGCGGGACGAATGCTCCTGCAGGGTGCAACAAATCTGAAAGGTCAGAAAGGCATCCCGAATGCTCCTGTGGCATACTGAGCAAATGATACGGCCAGCAATGGCCTCAAAGTGTCTGAGGTCCGTTTGGGGCAGCCAAAAGTGCAACTCACAAACATGCAATTAGTAGCTTCTTGCAACTGGTAGCGATGGCCTCCAACCTACTTGCAATGGCCTCCACCTAATAGCGTCCTTGCTACTGGTTGTGCCACAACTTTCTGATGCAAAGTGCATGGCTTCAGCCATCACATGGCAATCTAGACCTACTTGCCGAGCTTTTCCCGGATCTTGAGCTGGTAAGCTGCGTCCAGGAAAGATACTAACTTGCCCAAGCGTGATCACCGGCCTCTGCCCAACTGAAAGCCACATCTGATTCCCAAAGGGCTGCGTATATTGCAAATGGCGTGTCCAAAGTCCTTTCTTACTACCAAGATGAGATAGATCATCATGACTTATGCATAAACAATGGCTTTTTGGCTCTCCAGAAATAAACCCAAGTTCATGCTCAACTGCTCAAATGCACCGGATGGCAACGGCTAAATCATCTTGATCCCAACATGGGATGTGAGGAATCGCGACGATCAAAACACCAGCAGTCTAATCAGCAAACCCTCAAGCATCTGACATCAGGTCCACAGCAGTGCCTCCCAGGCATCAAACTCCTCAGCTGGCAGCTGGCGGTGGCAATACCGGAGCTATCGCGCGCGTAGTTCCGCCCAGGTACAGAGGGCAAACGTTCCAGGCACTCGTCAGGTAAAAAGCCACCATCCTGCGAGTGGTGGGAATCAGCCGCCATCGGCCGGGAAGAATTGTTGATGCTACTAGCAAGGCTGCAAACACGTCTTTTTGCCGCTGCCTAGGGTCAGACTATCCATGAACAACAAGACACTATGTTCTGCGTTTATATTTATAGACTATATATGACTATATTATTATATACAGTGTCCGTTTTTGGCCTGTGGTCAAAAGCTTAATTGGCATGCTCGAATTAGTTTCTGAGAGACTTGTCCGAAAGATCTTGATAGTATTATATCTTTTATGTCAGGTGCAAGGCCATTCCGGTGTCCATAGGCACGCGTGCATGGCATGTAAATGTTGCATGTCGATCTGCTTGACCAACTGAAGCATTCCGGTGCTCTGCCTTGCTCAGGTGATATCGCCGCCTGACCTCCTCTATGCCAGCCAACACCTGACGAGACCACGTGCCGCACCGTGCCGCACTGCGGATTGGAAGCAGTGGCACGCCTAAAGCATTAATTAAGGTTACCGTTTAAAGAAGTATGTTTGTTTCTTATGCATACCAACTTCGGGTTTCTTTTTTTCAGGGTAGTTGAAGCCAGTTGCAAGCAACATCAACCTCAATTTGCAGTTCCGCCGTTAAACCTTATCACGTCTACATACGGCTCAGAGCAACGAGCTGGCAACAAAAGTGCAGCTTTCTGGCAGTTAAAATTCTCTTGTGAAAACCGCTAAGGGGGCTCACTGTAGGAATTGCTATCGTAGCTCATTCGTGTCGCTGTAAGAAGTCGACGGTGCCCAGTTCGACGGGGACGTTCGGGCGCACCCCCGTTTGGTGTTCGCGTCACTCCTGGTAGAATTGCATCCCTGTAATCCTACTTCACTACTTCTGCGCATGCCTGCAGCATCATACCCAAACAAGAACTACCAGTTCAGGAAGGCTTTTCGAAGTACAACTTGTTGCCACAAGAACCTCTAAAAATGGAGCCCAACAACGAGCCTCCTCATCTCTGCAGCTCCGAAGGACCTGAGCGTTGCCGGAGTCAAAGCCATTTTGGTCCAAGCCCTGAACCCGGCCCAAGCCGGTTGTTTCACTCAATCCCTCCACCGGTTTGCACCGTATGTGACCTCCACCTTGCCTCTAGATATGGCAGGTGCCACCAACACGTGTCACTACAGACCACTAGTGACGTCAACCAAGTGCCCTGCCATCCGCCTCACCCAAAGCGATTGCCTGGACAGAATGCTAGTGAAACAAGCGCGCAAAATGAAGCAAGCTTTGGCTGTCGCCGTGACCGTCGCCTTCTAAGATACCAAACCGTGATCATGCCCAAGAAGCTTGATACGGCCTGAGGCTGTCAAGCTGTCCAATGTCGAGAAGGCGGAAGGAAGGCTGTCAGATGTGTGCACGGAACACACACTTCATAGTCGGTTGCTCGTGTTTTTTTTGTGAAATGCCTGGTCCATAAGGAGCCAATGTGCTGCCAGTGACTCAGACCCTCCAGCAAGGTTTTTTGGGGGGGGGCTCCCTTGGACACCATCATGATCCTCCATCTTCAACGAAAATGCAAACGGTGGAGACCGTGAAGTGGCAGGCAGCAAATCTCAAGTTTCCAGCTTGCTTACTCGCCGACCCTCACTGCCTAATCACCGACCAAGAGCGTGGAATCTTGAGACCCGTGCTGAGACCAACCGTAGAGTTCCCCAGCCTCTCATGAGGCGTTTCTCGGGATGCGTTGAGACTCGAGAGCATGAAAGCAAAAGCCCATCGTGGATGTTTGAGTCTAACGCGTGTGTGTGTGTGTGTGTGTGTGTGTGTGTGTCCACTCCTGTTTCCAAGGACACTACCCTAGTTTTTCT